TTCATTATGATACAGATTTTTAATCAATAGAAACCTACAATTTTTCAATCAAGCATGATGTTTGACGTTTGTCCTAAATTCCTATGTAATTGTTTTAGTTGTCAAAACGTATTAAATTTTCGTAGATAGCTAAACTTCGATAATTATAATATTAAAATGTCTGATATCAGCGATATAGAACACTCCTCCACACATATAGGAGAAAGGAGAAAATGCAGTACAAAATATTTTGCCCCAAAAATCTGTGGTAATACCAGTACCCAAGGTAATACCATTAATTACAATTTTGTAGAATTTTTTATAGAAATACGAGTAATTACTGTTATTGTGTTCAATACCAATATAAATAGAATATTTATAGGTCTTGATTATTTATCGGGTGTAGAAAAAATAGCGTATGCAACTCTCATGTAATGGTTATTAAAACACTCGCATAAACCATACGAAACTCGCCTTTGGCTCGTTTCGTATCCCGGTTAATGCTCGTGTATTAATAACCATCATTACATGATCGTTGCATAATATACTATTATTTGCCAATAAAAGGTATTTAAAAAACATATTATTTTATTTGTCAAGTGTGACCAATTGTGAAAATGATTAACTTTACAATAAAAACAAAAATGGTAGGTAAAGTTTCATATAATAATATTTTTTACACAAAAATCAATGTGAAGTTTTCTACATAACCTGATATATATTTAAAAATAATCTCAAATTATGAAGAAAAATCAGTTGAATAACTAATAATGTTTATTGCTGGTTTTCAATTTATTAAAAACAAAACAAATATTACAATAACTAAAATATTTATTTATTAATAGTTGTAGTGCTTGAAAACAGTATGATGTTGATAATAATAACTGCACTTAATACAAACTCAAATAATAAAAAAACAGTGATATTGGCTCTTGTAAAAAGATTTGAACCGAACTTACAAATGATAAAATTATTGGGAAAAGTGAACACCCATTTTAAATTAGGACAAGCCGCCACTCCAAATAAGGATAGATCCGGTATTTGTTGAAATGGAAGGCACCAATTACATTTAATACATCTCTAATATCCTCGAATGTCAGGATTATATACTAAATGTAAATAACGACAACGAACTACTAATAAACTAATTTTGTTTTAAAAATTAAATTGCAAGTATTCACGTTATTATCTACCTAGTTGTCAAATTATTAAAAGAGAGTATGGGAGAGTTTTGTTACAAGGATATTGTTTATAACTTTAATTCGGAATTGGCTCTTTAACGCACAAAACGCAATTTATTTTAAAGTGTGACATCAATGTAAAGCAAGCATAGTATTCATAAGTACTAATTAATTCATACAACGCATACTCGAACCTTAGATAAACAATCTCGCACAAATCATCCCCCTAAATTTAGCAGCCGTCTTGATCTTTCCAATGCGGCAGCGACTGCTGATGCGACGTACTGTTCTGTATGCCTGATAATTTTTCTTTGTTGGTAAAAACTCTATATTTATGAGTTATATAGTAGGGCTCGGAATTGTATTCGAATAATTCGATAATTCGAATATTCGAATACTCAAAATTCGATATTTTTAGATCTAAATTATTCGAATAGTCGAATATTCGAATATTCGAATATTCGAATAGTCGAATAGTCGAATAGTCGAATAGTCGAATAGTCGAATATTCGAATAGTCGAATATTCGAATAGTCGAATATTCGAATAGTCGAATAGTCGAATAGTCGAATAGTCGAATATTCGAATATTCGAATATTCGAATATTCGAATACTCGTATAATCGAATATTCGAATAGTCGAGTATTGGAATACTCGAATGTACGAATAATCGAATACTCGAATATACGAATACTCGAATATTCGTACATAATTGTTTTACGGATTGTCAAGAAAATCGCTTTTCAATACGCGAAAGTCAACAATATATCAAACAATTTTAACAAAGTTAAAAAAATATATGGTAATGACTGGTACTATGGATTTATGAAAAGGCACCTTAATATATCTCTGAGAAAGTCAGAGAGCACGTCGGTGAATAGGGTAAAAAGGTTTAAGAAAGCAAGAAGTTGACCTTTTTTTCTCTAATTTGTCTGGGATGTTTAAAAACTATAATTATCCTGCCAATCGTATTTACAATACGGACAAAACTGGAATAACGCCTGTACACATTCCTTTTTGGCTGTTAAAGGACAACGGCAGGTAGGTACCATTACAAGTGGAGAACGGGGAAAGCTGTTCAATGAGTGCTGCTGGAGAATACGTTCCTTCCATGTTTATTTTTGGAAGGGCTAGAATGAAATATGAGCTTACAAAAAATGGTGTAATAAATGCTCTCTATAAAATTTCAAAAAATGGTTAGATCAACCAAGACCTCTTCTTAGAATGGATTGAGCATTTTGCAAGGCATACTAAATCTTCAATCACGGACAGAGTGTTGTTAATTATAGACAATCAAAGCAGTCATTGTACACAAAAAAGTGTACAATGTTTGTAAGATGCAGTGGCGGCTCGTGGGGGTGTTCACAGTGACAGAATATAGGTATCAGTACAGATGTATGAAAAAACATTCAGTGTTTTAGAAAGTTTATAATATACCTTTCTAAAACACTGACAGTTTTTTACCTATATCTGTACCGGGATCTATATTCTGCTACTGTGAACCCACAAAATTTTGTTCACGAGCCGCCCCTGGTATGATGAATGGCATAGACGTAGTGACGATACCGCCTCACACATCTCATCGACTGCAACCTCTCTACGTTTGCTTTTATGGGCCATTGAAAACCGCGTACAACCGCGAGTGTGATTCTTTTCTTAGGTCAAAAAATTATTAAAAAATTGACCAGTCCTACAATGCCGAGGTGTTTAAAAAGGCCTACAGCAAGATAGCAACAATTTAAAAAGGTGTAAAAGGCTTTGAGACAACAGGGATTTTTCCAATAAACAGAGATGTCATAAATGAGAAATAATTTATCATTATTAAAGAAGCTGTGAAAGAGGGAGATGAACCACAAAAAAAAAGATGACAACAAAAGCAACGGGGATATGTCAAAAAGGACGTAGGAACTAAGGATAAGACAGATAATGCAATAACAAACATTATAAAAAATCCTGCTAAGAAAATTATATCAAGTTGGACCATCAGGAATTTCAAGACGAAAAAGTATAAAAAAAATGTCGAATGATTTTGATATTAGTATTAGTATATTTTACTATACCGATGAGGATAGTGATAATGACTTGGAAAAAGCGTAAGGGCGAATGTGTCATTTGAAGTCTTTCAGCCTGTGCCTTGCTTTTTAAGGTCAAGCCAGGAAAAGAGCAAAAAAACAAATTTTTATGTATTTACCGTGACACCAAATAAATTAAAATTAAAATTTAAAGAAAAATGGAACTGGCAAAATCTAAGGAAATCAAAAAAAATTCGTTACAGATGATAAACTAAAGAACGACAACTCAAATAGCAAGAGAAAAAATGGAAGAGGACACGGTTCCTTGCACCATATGCACGGAATTTGGAAAGGACAATAAGTGGTGCGTAACCTGCCCTTGTAAAAAATCATCCCATGCAGAATTTGCAGGCGAGGAAATCACTCAAGTGTATATTTGTCATTTTTGTAGGTCATAATTCTCTTAATAATTCGTATGACTTTTTAAGTTACTTGTTTGAAGTTATCACGTATATTTTTCAGTTTGTTCTTTTGTTATTTTGTGATTAAAAAGAATTTTTTATAGGGCTTTTTTATGATTGATATTGACCGTATAGGTAGGATAATACCACTCATTTATATTTTTAATGTTTTATGAAATAAATGTTTAATTTTGTTTAATTTTCATGTTTTCACTCTCACTTATTCTTCCTAATTGTACTTTGTTAAATTTTACATAAAACAAGTTTTGAATTATAGCTAGTTTGGTATTTATTAATTATTTTTCTTGAGTGGTCGGATTCCCCATATTTCCCCTATTCCTTACCTGCGACTAACTTTATTCTGACAATCAGGAACAGAACAAGAACGAATTTGCAACATAATTTTATATTTTGAAAGCCCTATAAACTCTTTTCAAAACAGTAAACCAATCAAACAATTAGAATTAATATCGCACAAAATGGAGCAATGGCTGTTGAAGGTGTTGAACAGTGTTCCCAATGCTGAAGCAACGATTATCGCGAAACTCTAGCATAAAAAGCGCAATTTTTTTATCAAAAAGCGCAACTGTATTACCAACATAAAAAAGCCAAAATATTGCCTTAAATATAATTTAAAAGCACAAAATAGAGGATAATGGCTTATGGTAATTTACAATTAAAAACGTTTTTGAAATATAATTGTATGTGTCTGTTTTAAATATCAAAATTCGTTATTTATAAGAGTAAAAAAGGAAAAATATAAAATGTTATTACCAGTCGCCTTTGCAGGTAAAAATCGCAAAAAGGCGCAAAAAAGTGGAGGGCGCAACACATAGACAAAAAGCGCAAAAGTTGCGCTTATTGCACCTAATTGGCAACACTGGTGTTAAATACCAACTTGCTTACGCTTGCGTTACTCTGAACCTGCTCTGAGCATACTCTGAACTTGCTCAACAGTGCTCGACGAACGCAACCAGCAAACTTTGTGTGAAGTAACGCCATCTATGAATATTGAACACTACTATAACACAAGTAAGCATTTCCCTATTAAAGATTCCCTAGCCTGGTCCAGGCGAGTGAATCCATGTTACATAACGCTGGTTGTGCGTAGTGTCCGATTACAATAAGAAGAACACCGCTACGTCATTACTATTATTTCGAATTTGGTTTAAAAATATTATTCCTACCTTTTTATATTATTAACGAGCCATTAAAACCCCAGTAGGCGGCGGTAATCAACGAATTATTCCGCCAATTAATGACGTAGATTTGTTCATCTTATTGTAATCGGACCCTACATACAATTACCATGAGATACAAATAAAAAAATTAAATTTTTATTTCTTTATTAAATATTTAATTATAAAATTAAAACGAAACAAATGGCTTCTTTCCATACTTTTCAAAAATGTTTACCCATTTCTTATAAGAAAATTGTCTTGGGTTTTTCTGAATGGTTAAATTGTTGTCGATATCCAAATAATAATATTGATTCTTTTTAACTGTTGGCCATATTTGATTTTGAAGTAATTCATCTTTAACAGGTGTAGGGTTTCTGAAAACAGATTAAAAGCTATATTATATTAATAAGAATTACAATGCTTTACGATAATAATTTATTGACCTAATATTAAAATAAAATAAAATAAAATAAACAAATCACGAAGCCATATGTCACAAAATAGGTGCGACCGCTTCCCTTCGAAAAACAACTGCTCCCTTGGCTAATACCTCTACAGGTATTAAATTACAACTAAAGGAAGAAAGCAAAGATAGAATTTTAATTTCAACACTCTACCTTTGACTTTGCTCAAAAACTTTGCAAAAAAAGATTGTTTTTAATTCCAGTCTCTAATGGAATTAACACATTTATCAATATACATTATTGATAGTTACGAAAAGAATGTGAATTAAAGTAGTAAAAATGGTGTCGCCATCTGTTCCTAGTAAACAAAATCAAAGCTCGCTTGTAGTACCAAGTTAAAAAACTAGGTGGATCTGAAAAGCCAGGCTGGCATTTTTTATAAAAATGTTGAAATATAATGTCTATATCTGCTGTCTTCCTTTGGATGTAATTCAATACCTGTTAAGGTATTTGTTTTCCGAAGGGAAACGGTCGCATCTATTTTTTGACATATGGCTTCCTGATTTATTTATTTATTTTATTTTACGTCATGGTCACATTTCAGTTGGACTTATGTTCCTTTTTTACCTTAATAATAATTATAAAAATGTAACAACAGATAAGAGTTTTGGGTTTAAAATACTTACAAATGTTTAATAAAATTAGTTAGTAGTTTGTTGTATCTTTGTACTGTCATCACATCAGATTTTGGAAATTTGCTATAATCCTGGAAATAAGACCAAAAATATCTTTGATCTTCCGCATGGGCTACTTTACCAATATCTAAAATATAGTAATTATATAATATATGTACGAAAAAATTTTTGATGTGCCTTTAATGAATTAAAAGCTATTCCTTATAATAATTTAAATTTAATTTAACTTGAGAAGTCTATATATTTCTTCCTTGGTTGATTATCAAGCCTGAATTTTGAGCATAAATTAACCTAGCTTTGGTTTGGTAATTCTGTATTACACCAATAGGTAACATGAATTAAAATTAAGCAATTAATTGCGTCCTTTTCAATATTATTTCGTAAATATAGTTGAAAAATAAAAACTATTTGCTCTTAATTTTCATTTCACATCCGCTTAAGACGTTTCTGTCGACATTAAATTGGAATTCCATCCAAGTGTAGTTGCTACTGGACTGACGCTTTTTTTTTCAACTTTGGAAAGTTATCGGTAGACCCCTTTGCAAAAAGGGGTTCACCTCCAGATTTCACTTTGAGGGTTTACCCGTGGATTCACTTGAAGGTTCACTTGTATATTCTACCGTGGGAATAAAGTACAACCGTATATCAGGACACTAGTCCAAATATTCGTGGTCCATTAGTTTATTAGCCACCTGGCCTACTATTACACTGGTTTTCATTGATATTATTTTATCTGGATGGAAATATGGTTATGGTGATGCTGTTATTGGTGACTCCCTGCTTTCAGGTTTTTTATAATAAATTCAGGATTTCATGTGCACTGTCTAATCTTACCAGACGACACATCACACTCTGGTATCCAAGCCAACTTCCTACCTTTACGCAATAAAGCTGTAATTGGAGAAATCAAAGTAAAGAAATCGGGAATAAGAAATAAGAAGCAAACGGACTCGTTAAAATTGGCTCATTAATTATTAATTTTCTCAAGGTAGGGAACAAAATATACAAACAAGCCCATAACGATACAGTGATTTCTTTTAGGTGAATTTGTACAACTGAAAGATTAACCAGTTTGAACCAAAAATTCGGCGATCAGGGTAAGATTACTAGTCAATTATTTTACAAATTAGGTACTACAAATAAATTCATGTACTGTTCTTGATAATGAAAATTAAATAATAAATACAAGAATCCACAAGACAGAATGTTGATATTAAATGCCGTCAATCTTTAAAAGCTTATGTCAACACTAAACAACATTTTATCCGTTTTTTTTTTTTTTCGTTTACTAGACAGGAGGTAAGTCGACTTTAAACTCTATTAATTTAAGCTGTCAAATATGCACGTTATAAAAGCATCTGCTTAATTTTAATTCATGTTACCTAATTAACTAAAGTGTATTAGAAGGAAATTATTTTAGAACAATTACCTTTGAACAAAATTTTTGTACCGCCAATTTCTCCATGGTATGAAAATTGGTAAAAGTAAACATCTACATATTGAGCAATTAGTTCGGCAAATTTTATAATTGGTCTTATAAATCTGTTGTCACTGCTAAACTAAAATTAAACAGTCATTTAAATGTACTTGTAGGTAGATACATATTTAAAATATTCCTTATTTTTCTTACCTGAACACCTTTTCCAGGATCATTCTCAAATGTACCGTTTCCTACGTATATTGATTTGATTTCTTCACCTACTTGAAGTTTAATATCGTTATTGGTTATAAAGAAATCATAATCTACCAAATTTCGAAGATTCCCATCGAAATTTTTTTTTACATTTGCCGTCCAGGACTTTACATCTAAAATAAAAAGTAAAATATTTTTAAGAGTAGAACTACAATTTCTTTTTGTTAGTTTGCATTGCATCTAGCTATATTTCAGCCAATCAGCAATTTGTCTTTATTATAAACTTAATTAAACTTAAGAAGCTTAAAACTAAGAGTTCACCTAATGGTATCTTCTCCTTTCAGTTCTGATAACTCTACTCTGCACATGCGCACTGTGCTCTGCTATAACACTCTTTCACATTACTAATTCAAATGGTTTGGTCGTTCTGAGCCTTCCCATTAAGTATCGGTTATCCAGGACCTGTAGAACTTTAATATTGACGTGATCATGCAGTCTTTTTCATGTTTTTTTTTGCGATGGTTTTCCTCTCTTCTTCGACTGTAAGCATTCTCAGATCTCTGTGTAGGTCTGAGTTCCTAACATATCGTTGATCTTAGTGCGCCATTATTTTGTCCACTCATGGATTTAATTAGTTGCATATTAAAATTTGTTGGTCGATTCTTCTATGATTTTACCGAGGGCAAGTTTGTGGAATGTCGGAGGTGAACAACAAGTAAAGAACTGACCCTAGAATACTTCCTTGAGGTACCCCTGCTTTAGTTTCTTTAAGCTTGGAATATTTTTCTTTTGTTTTACTCGGAAAAGTCTATCAGTCAAGTAAGATTTTAAGATGTCACAATATTGCCTAGGTAGAAGTTTATTTATTTTTTATTCAAGGCCCTCTAACCATACTTTATCGAATGCCTGAGCTACATCTAGAAAGAGTAAGGTGCAGATCTTTTTTTCCAGTGTTTTTTCTATTTTATTCGTTATTCTGTGGACTTGGTCAACAGTGGAATGCTTGTTCCTAAATCCAGATTGGTGGTCAGGTATTATATTTTTACTGTCTATCAGTGGTTTCAATCTTTTAAGTAAAAGTTCTTCGAAAAGTTTAGATAAAACTGGTAACAGGGATATAGGTCCATAGCACTTTACTTCATTCGGTGGTTTTCCAGGTTTGGGTATCATTATAATTTCAGCGACTTTTCAGATGCTAAGTATATGCTCTAGTCGAATTACAGTGCTTTATTATATTAGAAAATTTAACCACAACTTTTCTTGGCAATTGTTTTAGTATTTAACCTGTAATCAGATCATACCTGAGTGCTTTCTTAGAATTGATATTTTCTTTGATTTCCTTAGCTATATCTTTAGGCGTTACTCTGTGAACTTCTACTATATTTGTGTTCTTTTGTTTTAATAAATCGAGTCCTCGATCTTCATTCGGTTGAAAAATTTTTTAAAATGATCTGCAAACATGTCAGCTTTTTGTTTATTTGATCTTGCCCAGTTTCCGTTGTCTATTTTTATTGATGACATATGAACTATTGGACGTTTAAGTTTCCCAGTTGCTTTCCACAGGGAATAATCAGTATTTTTATCGTTCGTTAATTTTTTGAGATGTCTATTGTTTCATTTTTAATAGTGATTATATCTTCAGGAAATTTGACGATTTGCCATTTTTTCTTGCCTTTCTCTTCTTATTATTTATTAGTTCTTTTATTTCTCTAGGGTATAAATTACCTACGTTTTTTCTTCTAATTTCGGGTGTATTGATCCATGACTTTTGCTGTATGTTAATGACAAATTTTTCTTTTGTTTTTAGTAGTGCACTTAGTTCGATTCTATTACTTAATTCAGTTTTTAAACTTACCCAGTCTGTCTTTTTATTACACAATGTGGGTTTAATTTCCTTTTGGATTATATTTTCGCTTAGTATCATTATCACCGGGGAATGATTTGAGTCTATGTCAAAGTTTTGTTCTATTTTAATAAAGTTTTCCGGTATTTTTCTAGTAAAGCAAAGTCCAGTAATTCACGTATTTTATTTCTGTTGGTTGACCAATAGGTTGGTTTTCCTGTTGACTGGTAATCACACCTAATTTTACTGACATGCAATTTGCTACCTTTGGTGGTTGTTAATCTCGAGCCCCAGATGATATTTTTGGCATTAAAATCACCTTCCTAGATAAAATGTTTTCCCATTTATCGTAAGAGTTTTTCAAATTATGTCGTGGTGGGATATATACTGCTCAGACTGCAAAACTGTATTTATTCTTTTTTATGTTAATTGCTGTTACCTGGATTTCTTTTGTTCCTATTTTATTCTCGTCATAATGGTTAATATTTTCTTTTATTATTACGCCGCTTCCACCTCTAGCGGTATCCGAAGGATGTATAGTACCATACATATTTAAACTTGTCAAATCAAACAACAGTAAATATATAGATTCAAGTAATTTGAAGCATTATACTCTAAAAAACTTATTCCTTACAAAAAAATGCAACGATGTCAATAATTTACTATTTAAATCTTTTTAGGGCTGGTTATACAATAAGCAGTTAAAATGTAAACTTAGTTTAAACTGTAAACTTCATTATATTATCATCAGTTATTGTTATAGTTTTAAAAATTACATTGGTACTTTGAATATAAACAGTTAAAAATTAAGCTCTTGTTAGCTAAACTGAGCTTATAGCATTCTTTGTACAACCCGCCCTTACAGTAATTAAATAATTAATTACACAATTATAAATTGGTATATTTAGCTGCTTATAAATATTAATAAAAATATTATGCACATAAGAATATAGTTTATATGTCACGTGACTCGGTTTTGACTAGTCAAGTATGCTATATGAATGATAAATTAAAATGCCACAGTGTTGTATTATTCTTGAAGTACCTAGATTAGACTGCAATACAAATTTATTTCGATACAAACCAGTTATAAATGTCATATCGTGATCATCATACTTATTACATTATTTTTCCAAATAATATTCCGTGATAATCTTAAGATTGAAACTTGAAAAACAAAAACAAAACTAAGACAAACCCAAAACTCTTGTTTCCATCAAACGGACTACATTTTGTTACAGTCTTGTTTTTGTTTTCAGTCATTTTCCACTGGTTGTTGCGAGGAAGTACAATATTTGGACAATCAGATATATATTCTAGTAATAAATATACTTATATAAATTTATCCAGCATTTCAAATTAAATTTCTTATTACTAATTACTTATCTGTAACAACGTACGTTATTTACTTATCTATAGGTACACATTTGGTACAAAAATTAGACTACACAACACGACCGTTTCCAGTAAACAGACTCGAGTTTCAAAACACGTCAAAAGATTTTGATATTACCGCTTCCGAGCGGGACTCAAGAAACAAAACTTTAACTGTCGCAAAACACGCCAGTCTTCAAAAAGTTTACGAAAAGTTGCAGTTTTGTTTTTCTCGACACGAGTTTGTGTTTTGTTTTTGTTTTGTATATTTAGTGGAAAACCGCCATTAATTTTCGGTAATTTGGAAAATACAACTAGTGTTTCGCACTAATTGAATTTTTGTCGGTATAGCTGACATTCGTGATGTTTGTAAAAATTGTTAATAATAATCGTACCACTTATGCTTAAAAATATAAACTAAACTGTCACAACAATTCATTTCTGAGGATATTTTATCACCAAACAAACAATCTTAACGTACCCCTTACACTTGCGAGGGATTCTTCCGAATTAAATCCCATCAATACAGGAACTTTGTTAATTCTTCCACTTTCTGCAACACCATACATAGGTTCAGACAAAAATGCTCCATCATGTGCAATTTCTACAACTGGTGAAAACTTCTGAAATAATTTAAAAAATTTTAAATTCAATCTATGTAATAATAATGTTGGCATATCAGATCCTACTTTCATACACACATACTTTGGAATACTTCTAGAGTTTTCCCAGATATGTCGAAGACATGTACGCCAAATAGAAACTTATTTTGATTAAATATGCTTACTTTATACTTATTTGCGGTTTTAGTTATTTTATCAACAGAGACGCTTTGAAGCAATTCTAATAGTTCTTGCGTTGAGTTCTGTCTAGTGAAACTTGCATCAATTTCTGCTGCTATTCCATAAGCATTATCTGCAGGATTTGGTTGATGAGCCCAGTCGGTTAGCGCTGATCCACTGCAACCTATGGCGGCTCTAAACAAACCTAAAACAATATTATTTTATCATCATTAGTATTTTCTAAATTATTACTACTGCAGTAATGATAGATTATTGAAACAATTTAAATATTTTGATCATTAAAAATAAGAGCTTCTTTGACCTTGGCACAATATCACCTGGTCTCATTAGGGCTACGTACATGTTTATAATTACAAAGGTTTAACAAATTTAAAAACTGACGTGCCGTTTTAATATTTATCAATAATCCAATTACGTTCAATTATAAAAAAAGCAATTAGATTATGGGACGTCAATTTTCCAAGTAATTCAATTCTTAACAATTGACACACATAAGTATAAAAAATTAATAAATATTGTATAATATTCCGTTATTGACCTGCTGATCCAGGAGAAAGAATTTGGTAAGTCACTGAAGCAGATCCTGCACTTTGGCCCATTATGGTGACTTTCTCTGGATCGCCACCGAATAAATGAATATTTTGTTGTATCCATTTTAAAGCTAGTCGTTGATCTTTTAAACCCATATTACCAGAAATTGCTTTGTCACCCGTTGATAAGAAACCTACAACAAACAATACAATAATAATGAATTTATATTTTAAAAGTATCATTTATTGGTTAATTAGAGTAAATAATTCATTTTCACTAACGTGGAAATTATTTACAAGAAAAAAATCTTAAATCCTTTACCACAGAATTTTATTTTTATTTAGATACTAGTTTCCGCCTCTATGGACCATCATTAGGCCTAAAATTGTAAAATTATGTAATTACATAATGATGGAGAGTATATAAATTTTTTTTCTTATATACTCACCATCATTCTATCTACTATGTAACTTTACAATTTTAGGCCCAATGATGGCCTGTAGAGGACGAAACTAGTAGCCAATTAAAAATAAATTTTTGTGGTAAATGACTTAGAGTTTCTTTTACTTATATTAGTTAATGTTTAACTGTTTGTGTTGGTGATGTGTTTCATCTAATTTTTTTAAAGAATATACAGTTAATTTAGTAGGTCCTTACACGAACGTCATAATAATAATAATAATATACACGGGATATCGGTATGTAATTTGGATTGGACAAATGCGCCGTTCTGAGACTTAAGAAAGGCCGTTGCCTAAACCAGCCTGAGAACGAGCAACTTACTGACGGAAGCATACTTCGTTACTTGGAAGATGAAGAAACTTACAAGTATCTTATTGTTGATCAACACCGAATGCATGACACTAACATCGTCAAAAAATGCTCCGTAGTAACTATAGACAGCGTCTCCGAAAAATATGGGAATCCCAGCTTTCCGGAAACCATCTTTCCGGAATCAATAAAGTTGCTGCCACTAATATGCTTTCCGTTCCTGTACTGCACATGAACAGAAGCATCCAGCCACGCTCATCGGTCTCACGCATTTACCTTCCACGTCATCAAGGGGACAGAGGTCTTCTGAGTCTGGAGAGGTTGAATGATAGATTAACTGTGAGTTTGGTCTGCAAGGTAGCAAACAGTGCGGACCCACTACTGCAGCTGGTTCGGGACCATAACACAACTGATATCAATGCTTTTCTTTTTAAGGTTACAGGTAAAGCTGGTAAAACTAGGTCTCAGATTTGAAATAGATGACAACCAATCTCTTACAAGATTGGAACCCGCACAAGTGAAACGTCTAGTTAGGGCAGCAGAACAACAGCTACTCTTGGAAGATCACGTCAGTAAACCCCAACACGTTGTTTTTTACAGTAACATAGAAGATCCTAATCTATCTTGGGAATTAACTTTCTCCTTTCTTCGATCAGCTTAACTGAAGTCTGAGATAGAGGGATTCTTGTTAGCTTACCAGGATGGCGTAATTAATACTCTCGTATACCGCGCTCAATTTACGCATGTGGCGGATATCAGATGCAGAACATGCCAACCATACTCGGAGACATTACTGCATCTTTTGTCCGCTTGCCCGGTGCAAGCTGTATATGGGTATATCTACAGGTATAACGCCGCATTGCGAGTTCTCTACTATCATCTAAGACATCACTACGGTATAGATAAGACCCCAGTTCTGCCGTACGCCCCAGACGAAATTAAAGCGGTAGTGGAAAATTCCAGTTGCCGTATTTATTGGAATTACGCTTTTCCCACAACAACCAGACTCCAAGCTAACAAGCCCGATTTGGTGCTGTTGGACAAGCAGAGTCATTTAATGTTTAGCATTGAGTTTTCTGCACCAGCTGAAACCAACATTCTTATTAAGGAGAGGGAAAAGCGTGCCAAATACATTCCACTGATTGGCGAGTTGCAAAGAATGTATCCAGAATATAATGTACGAATGATAGTCCTAATTGTGGGTGTTTTATGGGAAATCAAGGACACTATGTCCACGGAGCTACAAAAAATTCCGGCTTTCCGAGACTCATCAAAACAACTAGTGGTGAAGATGCAGAAAGCAGTAGTCCTTGGGTCCCTTCGTCTTTTGAGGCAATTGAATTTGGCCGAAGATCACTGACCGAGCGGATGTAAGGAGTGATCTTCTCAGCGACCAGGCCTTTCGAATTTTTTTTACAAATAATAATATTATAATATTAATAATACTCTCCCTATTTTACCCTCCTTACGAGTGAATTTCAACCGCTAAGCTGACTGAGTAACTTGTGTAGGGGAAGGAATGTATATTATTATTTGCCGTGGCGCTCAGGGGTGACATAATGCTCTTTACGTGTTGTTTGAGCAAGTATGCGACATCCTTTACGCCATTTGATCGGGGTTTTGAACAGGTCAGTTCAATTTTGAAATACTAATCTCTTCAAAGTTATGTGTTATTATTCTTGTCGTGCGTGATGGCATGTTACCTGCATTGGCAGAAAATCATTGCCAACAAACTCAGGAAGTGGCATCACATGCTCTTCTAGGATGGTGGTCATGTATCTTAATGCTGTTGACGCGCATCTGTCAATCAAGACAACAGAGAGATATTGCAAATTTCTATAACGTCAGCCACTAATAGTGACAACGTAATTAAAGGCAAATAAATTATATACTAATAAGACTTATTGCAAACCTGAAGTTTTGACATTGAGTCCTTGTCTTAATACATATTTCTACCTTATTTTAAAAATTACAGTTACAGTTCATCTTTTTTATTTTCTTTAATAGTACATAATATTGAAGAGGCATTAGAAATGATAATTTAAGAAGGTTTAGATGACTATGATATTAAATATTTAATATTAAAAAACGGATACGAATATCGGCGAGGGCACCCCAAAGCTATAAAGTCGCCACTACCTGCTGTCCTTAATTAAGGACAGGCACAATCTTTAATAAAGGCAGTTTTGAAACATTAACGGTCTGCGCATGCTTAGATGTCACAATAAGAGCGGCACTAATAGTGACTGGCCTTAAGTGAACTTGCAATAACTGTCTATTAGCGTGCGTCTAAAACGAAATTCCTGCCGCAAACATTGGAGCTACCTTCAAAAGCAACCAGATGTAATGAGTGTAGACAGCATAACATTCTACCGCTTCTCTGTATATCTTATTTTGCCTATATTTTCCATAAATACACATTTTACACTCATCCGTAAACAATATGTTTTTCAAGTTGTCCATTATTCAATTAATGTGTCCACGAGTAAAAGCAAATATTCGTCTTTTAAGATCTGCAGCAAGCAAGGGTCCGCGATTCTCCCTGATCTTTTCTCGCCATATCCCTTTGATTTGCTTAATTTTTAAGCAATGGTACAATCTTAACAGCTCTTCGATATTTATCATTCATTAGTAAGGATTACACTTTACTCTACAATGGTCAGTCTAGTACAAAGAAACGTTTAAAACTCTTTAGAACACTTTACAAGTTCATTATACAGTTCTCAAAATATTCACTTTCCAGAAACTTGTTGATAAACAAATAATGTGTTCTGAGAATAATTGTATGGGATCCTGGGTTCCGCGAATTTGTTATACACTTTGCAATACACCTAACTCAGTTTACTAAATTAAAAAAAAAATAATTAAATTTTTGGGTGAACCGTTTCCTCTGACGCGCAGTGTAATATTCCATTTTCAATTGATATAAATGTAAATATTACGGTTTCGCGGGATAGAAGTCAGAACTGTAATAGGCTGTCTGAAATATTGAAATGTAAAAAAATAATTTAATCATTTTTATTGTAGATACAATTTTTGGACGCTGTGAAATTTAAAAACCCTCTAAATATTAGTTTTTTAAAGCTATAATATTACTTCAAAACATGTAAATGTAATTTAAAACTCATTAATTACCTGATAAGCTGACAACTATGCTGATATAGTAGTTTACCTAACAAGTGCGGAAAGTGATATTTTTACGCACGCGACTGTAGATGGCCGAACGACGCGTTAGTGGAGCAATCGCGTGCGGAAAAGTCACTTTACGCACGTGTTAGGTACACTATTTTTTCTACTAGCGTGCGGAACAAACCAAATAGGTAAATATAAAGAAACATTTATTATTAAATACATATCAACAAATTAATTATTCTTAATATTAATATTGAACGTTCAATTTGTACCATTCTGCAAATTAATTGCAGAGGCTAAAATGTTTTCCAATGAAGTCAGATTTCGGTTTTTCACTGCTTTGTCAGTACTAATAATTGCAACCGTGGCGATGGGAACTTGGCTAGAAGAGGTCATTTTGGAAGGCTTTACTGGTGACAGCTGCTGACTAGTGGAAGGGCCATGGACAGCCTCATTGAAGTTTAATATTTTATTTGATAGGCCCTTCTGGAAACTTGGTGAGCTTTCTACATAACCTTCTGCGACGCTAGATTTCCAACCTCCGCGGCGTTTAATATTTGTTATTCCCTCTCCGGAATCTGTGAGCATTGTGGCGGCGGAACGTCGGAAACTGTGGCCCGTTTATAATTCAGGATTTGGAAGTTTCAGATAACTTGCAATCTCTGATGACAATTTTCTGAAGGTGTTTATTCCGATACATTGCACAGTGCAAGTTTATTTCTTATATTTCACGAAAAATCGCTTATCTAGGGTTTCAGGCTTTCCTAAACTCACATACTTTCTGAACAAATTAAGCAATTTTCTATTTTCAGCTTCCTCAGAAATCGCAAAGCTTCTGAAAGAGTATTCTAGTATATTTATTAATAAAATATTTCCTTTGTCATCAATATGATCTAAAGACATTTTTGTTAATTCTTCTTGCCTACATGCGCCCGCCAAACCAAAAATCGTAGCGACTTTTATATGAAGATAAATTTTGTCAGGCGCTTCATTTATAAACTTAAAAATTTCTTCTTTTGAGAAAATGTTTGCCTTTTTTGGTCTAAATCCAATGTTTTGTTTTTTTATATATGCCGTGACCTTGAAAAACTTGCTTAGATCGGCGTCTTTTTAGAGTTTAATTACACTTTTTAACATTGAGTACCTGGACTAAAGAGTGTTTGGCTTATATGTTTTGGAAATTTCAGCGAAATAAGCCAAAAAACGTCTTCTTTAAAAGTTTTAAGTCCCTTATTCTGGTACCAGTTTTCAAACAAAATATATTCCTTTTCATACCAATAACGGGATTTTGATGGTAGTAGATCCAAGTTTGCAGTTCTAGCCGCTTTCAAAACTGACTCTGGCAAATCTTCGTCTGAAGAATCCATGAAAAAATTATCTTCTAGTAAAAGATGCGATGGTAAAATTGGTTTTGACAAGGTAGTGTTTTAACTGAGAGGTTTATTTTTTCTTTGTAGCTACGGTGATTCAAAGTGACAAATAAAAAATGTCAGATGTTTATTTGACACTCATTTGATAAGGCTTATACCAGGGCCATTAAAAAATTATTGTAACATACGTTTCTTTTTATAGCAGAATTCTAATAAATTTCTTAATTTTTCAGTCATTTTGTAAACTGCAACCATACAAATATGTATTTTAAACATTCAAATGTCAGTATATTCCCCAAAAACTTTACAAATTTACTAGTGCGGAAAAAAAATTTTTCGCACCAGTGCGGAAAAGTGACTCTTTCAACACTAAAATAAGTGCGAAAAAGTGGCTTTTTCCGCACACTAGTAGAAAAAATAACATTGAGATTCAGAATGTACTTTCTGCATTATTCTCTTCTTAAAATTTTGACAGACAGTATCTAATATTATCCTGCTATTTGGACATACAAGGTAGAAATATCTCACGGATAAAGAACCGCTGCTGACCCAAGTATAATTTAATTTTATGCATGATCATTCCCATTTTATCTAGAGAACCCTTACTTCTTTTTATGTATTCGTAGAGTCTAAATAATATATGGAATTGCAGTGTGAAATTACCTAATGGTCCAACTCTGTAATTAAAGTTTACTAATATTATATTTTCCTCCATTAAAAATGCAGTTTTGGAGTAACCATAGCCCATGTGGCCGTGAATAAAAGCTCCACCGTAAATAAAAACTAGAACTTCCAACTTTGTAACATTTGAGGGATTCTAAAAATAAAACTTTATATAAATATCATTATTATAAAACTGCATGAATTCGAAAATAATTGTTATATGTTTTGATAATTTTTGAAAATTGTATATAAATAATAATTAGTAATACATTTTTTACTAAGTTTTGATATAAATAAATGGTAATTACTAAAAAGTTATGGCTGGGTACACGTTAACATTATAACAAAAAAAATTTGCAGTTGAACATCATCAGGTATTAGTTTACTAATAAGTTTGAAAACGGCAGAGGTGAAGAATAGAAAACAATAGAAGTATTATTAGTTTTGTAGATACAAATAGATACTTTGTCAAATGTTTTAAAACTTACTACTGGAGTGAACACACTCAAATATAAACAATCTTCTCTGGCATATTTTTCTTCTCGGTCTGTCTGATAACATGAAATTTTATTATCGAGAACATCTTTAACGCCTATCCAGTTTTTGACTGGTTGAGGTGCCTGAAATAATTAACTATATTTTTTTTTGTAACTTCTGCCCAATATCTTACTTGAAACCGTAATTTTCCTGTTGGTGGTTCAGCAAATGGTATCCCTTGATAGGCATAAAAACTTGAATGTGGATTTATTGGAGACTTCACTAGTGCTCCACGTATTTTTCCATTTGGTAAGTTTATAATAGGGTTCTCACTGAAAACCTAAAAAAAAAAGATTTGTTCTTAGCTGTAATAGTTCATAAACATTGGTAACACATTTTTTGTGGTACAGTTATAAGGATTAACAATATTCGATTAGACAATATTTTCTACAAACAAAAAATGAAAGCGAAAATTTATAACACTTGTCTTGTCCTCGTGATAAGTTTTGTTGTTTGTGCTACATTTATCGGTACTTGTTTAATTTTTAGTGTTACTCGAAAGACCTATGCTTTTTTTGTAAAGTAACGTTTTCCCAATCAACTATTTAATGGCTTCCTTTAGTTGCGAGATTACAGGGGCGATTATTGAAAACTGTCGAAAAGTACAAGATTCTATAACGTCTCTATGAAGAAAAATATAAAAAACTTTATAGAAACTATTGATAAATATATTCAGTAGCGTAGAATAAAAGTAGAGGTCACAACAAAGAAATATAATAAGTTATTTTTAAAGAGAACACTCTGTATGTTTGGAAATTTTTGGTTTCTATTTATTTTCTTTAATTTAATATGACATACTGCATATATTAGTGGTTGAAGCTACAGGGCAAATAAAATGTCTGTCACGTTAAAAACATTTAAAACAAAAAGTGCATTTATCGTTCTGATAGTTTAAAAATGCAATGCATCTCATTAGCTTCATTAGCTTCCATTATGCCTATTATTAAAGACTTTAAGAAATAAATACCTAATTGTAATATATGATATAATTGTAATATATGAAGAAAAACCTTAATCAATAGATTTTTATCTTCTGATGCTTGCACCATTCGTGTTCCAGCTAGTTCTGCCAGTTGGAGTCGTTACATAGTTGCCAGGTTATATTTAATTATTTGGAACCAGAGAATAAGCAGATTGAAATAATTATTTTACTTTTAATCATCTATTTACCAAGTTTTACATTGATTAAAAATCCCATAAAAATAAAAAAGTATTCTGTAGATTTTCAAGTAATGCGATCGTTATTTTTAATATCAATAATACCTTTCAATAGTAATGATTACAAAATTTAAATTTAAAATCTATCAAAACTGTCTTATAAAACAAAACAGAATTGTTATTTCAAAATATAATATAAATCTTTATATTTATTTATCATACATTTTAATGTATAGAGGTTATAATTTGGTTAAAAAATAAACTATGAAATAAAGCAAGCTAAAATGAAAGTGGAGATTTGGCAACGCGGGTTGTGCAAATTCAAATTCTAGACCTCAGTGCCGAGTGGTGAGAACATGCGCATTTCTAGACCCGTCAACTACAACATTACACATTTTAGACTTTAGGAAGGAGAGTATTTTTCAAATATATAACCAGAAACTCCATAAATTAACGTGTTTAAAAAAAATATATATATTAAAGGCATATTAGGATCACTAAATGATCATTTATGTATTTATTCATTATAATTTAGAATTCTGTCATGCTCTGTCAATTCAAGTGTCTAATTAAAATCAACGAAAACGAAATTAAAAAAAAGTACCTCATTTTTGACATAACATTTCCATACACTTTAAAAACCTGATGTGTCCAACACATGACTTAATTTAATTTAATTTAATGTTTTTTCCTTTATCCGTTTTTGAGTTTTCTTCAAAATTCGAAATTTACACGTTTTCTCAAATATCTCGAATACGGTTCATTTCAGTAAAATTATATATAGGACAAAAATTATAGAGAATTATATAACAAACAACTTTTATTTAAACATTTTTTATATTTTCTCAAATTTATCGAATACGGATCATTCTAGGAAAATTTTGTATAGAACAAAAAATATTGATAATAATATTGTAAGTAACTTTTATTTGAAGAATTTATTTTTTCAAACGTAAAGAACAGATATATTCTATAAAATATAAAAATGACCAATTATAAAGTACCCACCCAGATGTTCCGACTCTGTTTAAAATCTAATCAGTTCATTGGACACCAAAATAATGCTTAGGCTTAAAATTTGGTGTTTTTCTTTGTATCGGTTCATGAGTTATAACGGAGACAGACACACACACATAATTTATTTATAGTCACATCTGATGATTTATTTATCCATTTTGATTGAAATATATAAAGTAATAAACAAAGTACTTTTCGAAAATTAGGTTTTTGTCTAGTCGTTACCATGACCAGGGTCTCTATGGCAACAGTCTCTCCGTAACTGATTTCTTCTAAAATAAAGTGAACATTAAATGATCTATAATTTGGCAACTATGCATTTCTTCACCATGAGATTTGGGTTTTTGTTTACTGGTTACCATGGCAACGGTTTCTATGGTAACAATTTTTATGTATCCGATTTCGGCTAAACGAAATTTGACCTCAAATTCCGTTTAGAAATCACCAAACTTAAATTAAAATTGACATATGACATTATATAAAAGATGTGACGTTACTACGGTAACTACAATACTGTAACCAAGTATGTTGTAGTAAGCTCATAAAGAAATGCCTTAAAAGTATCCACCCAGTGACTTCACAGTTAACCCAGCACAAATTGAACTAATGCAGCTATCCCCTTGTTGATGTACTCTTTTAACTTGGCTGGCTAGGTCATTTATCAAACAAATAAATTCACTTGATTTAAAAGAGTTTTAAAAAATTTGAATAACACAAAGTAATTATATTTCAAAGTTTTCAAAAAGTACATTGTTTATTACTTTATAGATTATATAATATTAATATTTAAAAATTATGTACTACAACAATTCAATCAAAATTGATAAATAAATCATCGGGTGTGACCGGAAATAAATTAATAGAACTGCTTTTAAAAGAGTATGGAAATGTTATGTTAAAAATACGGTATTTTTTTATATTTCTTTTTTGTTGATTTTAATTGGACACTTGGCAACACCGCGCCAATTTGTATTGACAGAGCATGACAGATATAATTCTAAATTCTAATGAATGTTTAGAATGTATGGAATGTTAGGAATGTTAGGAATGTTAGGAATGTTAGGAATGTTAGGAATGTTAGGAATGTTAGGAATGTTAGGAATGTTAGGAATGTTAGGAATGTTAGGAATGTTAGGAATGTTAGGAATGTTAGGAATGTTAGGAATGTTAGGAATGTTAGACATTAGGAATATTTGGAATACGTAAAATAAGTCGCATAATAAATGCATAGGCGGATTTTAAGAACATTGATATTAAAGTAGTTAGGATAAACCGAAAATTCTAAAAATCAATAGGGTTCTGACTTAGAAGCAATTATTCAAGAAAATCAAATCCGCAAATTAAAATAAGGTATTTTTTTATATTTCTTTTTTGTTGATTTTAATTGGACACTTGGCAACACCGTGCCAACTTGTATTGACAGAGCATGACATATATAATTCTAAATTCTAATGAATGTTTGGAATGTATGGAATGTTAGGAATGTTAGACATTAGGAATATTTGGAATGCGTAAAATAAGTCGCATAATAAATGCATGGGCGGATTTTAAGAACATTGATATTAAAGTAGTTAGGATAAACCAAAAATTCTAATAATCAATTAAGGTTCTGACTTAGAAGCAATTATTCAAGAAAATCAATCAAAACTTTCGTTCTAGAGTTATCGTGTCGGCATACATACACACAAAAATTCTTTTTGCATTTTCGGACTCATAATGATCGGAAACGTGAAAAAAAGTATTAAAAAATGAAGGTAAGAAATTTTTTCGTTTGCACGAATTCAATACTGAGGCCCCATAGGAAGGGCCTCATTAAAAATGCTGATTGTTGGTTCTAAGTGAATTTTATTATTTCTTTTTATTACTAATTTCATTTTTTGTAACTAAAATTATCACGAAATAGAACATCATGTATTTTATTATTATTATTATTAATATTATTATGTTTATAAATGGTTTTCAGCGTATTAAAAACAATACAAATATTACAATAACTAAAATATTCATTAATAGTTGTAATACTTGCAAACAGTACGATATTCATAATAATAACTACACTTATATAAACCCAAATAAAAAACCAACGACATAGGCGCTTGTACAAAGTTGACAAGGGGGGTAGCCATGTGTGAGTTGAGGTAATTTTAAGGTGAAGGGTGAGAAAAAGTCCTTTATATCTCACAAGGAAAGTCAATGTTTTATTGTTTAACAAAACATTGAGTGCGACCGGTTTCGAAGTGTCATCACTTCATCTTCAGGCTCGCCATACTCTCCATCCACTAGGGAATACTACAAAAACAAGTTTCATCAATTTTGGGTTGAAATAAATTGTAAAATGAACCGATTTACACGTAATAAAAAGTTAAAAATATTTGAAAAAACAAATATTAGTCAATTATAGTAAAAATTTAAAATATTCAAGACTATACAAAAACAAATCACATACATTAAACAGATTAAAAGATAAGGCCTATTTTAAACATTGTTGTTTTTAAAAAAAAAACTAACGTTTTTTTTTGTTAGTTTTTTTAAAAACAACAATGTTTAAAATAGGCCTTATCTTTTAATCTGTTTAATGTATGTGATTTGTTTTTGTATAGTCTCGAATATTTTAAATTTTTACTATAATTGACTAATATTTGTTTTTTAAAATATTTTTAACTTTTTATTACGTGTAAATCGGTTCATTTTACAATTTATTTCAACCCAAAATTGATGAAACTTGTTTTTGTAGTATTCCCTAGTGGATGGAGAGTATGGCGAGCCTGAAGATGAAGTGATGACACTTCGAAACCGGTGGCACTCAATGTTTTGTTAAACAATAAAACATTGACTTTCCTTGTGAGATATAAAGGACTTTTTCTCACCCTTCACCTTAAAAAAAAAAAAAAAGCTTGTACAAAGTTTTGAACCGAACTTACAAACGATAAAATTATTCGAAAAAAGTGTCGACTTTTAGTTATTTTGTAAGATGTCCTTGTTCTAGTAAAAACCGCATTAAAAACTGCATTCAAACACATTTTTAGAAGTTTCCTGGATTTCTACTTTAAATTATCGTAGTATTGAATTGACTTATTGTTTTTTTTCTGCCATCGGCATCAACTGCTATGGTTATTAGTCTCGTGTTCTGTGTAGGCTTTGTTACTGTTTCCCAGCGCCACCTTAGGAACAGCACTGTTAATTAGTACCCAACAGTGAATGGTAAAAAGTGTTTTTGTATTATTCTATATTTTTTAGTTAATTAGACCTGAAATTAATTAATTATTAGGTACATAATATGAAACTTTAAACAATACGAAAAATTGGTCAATTAAATTAAACAGGTTAAAAAAAATTGCCACCAAAAAATGGCATTGCTTTTTTTCTTAAACATAAAAAAAATAGAAATCTCGATTACATTGTCAGAAAGAGCCAGAACTGGCGCTATCAAAACTTGGCAACGGTGATTGAATAAGCCAATTAAATGCGAGGGATTTCCCCTTCGGATGTAGTTAGATGTTGATTACAAAATTTAGCGCAGCAAAAAGGGGAAGACTCTCTTTAGAAAAGTATTTGCTCAAAGGTTGGATATATGTGGGAATTTGACAATTTATGCGCTGCTTTCACAACAATTGAAGGATACAGGGAAAAAACAGACATGTCATTTTACTTACATAACGAATAAATACAATTTTAATGTTCAAAACTAAATATTTTTATTTAAAAATGTTATATAAACATGTTGCTTACACAAAACTGAATTTATATTATTACATAACAATACAATTACATTTCTTGCCCTTTAAAATACTGGTGGTGAATTAATTGCACAAAGTAGCATACCAGTCAGTGTTTTGCTGTGAAGAAAGCAGCAATGTCATCTGAAGAAAAAAACAGTCATCATATTTTATTTTTATACCAGGAAAGAAAGTTTAATGAGTGTAGCAACTATTTATTATTTCTTGACGTTTGAAAGTTATACATCAACAATCAACATAAAAATAATTTGAATCTACTAGTTAGAAATGAGCCAGGTTGTTAAAAAATTTCACCGCTCTTGGACTGGAAAACCGCATAAGGCTCATAAGGTCTTCAAACTTGGCCTTTAGAATTGTTAAAAGACCTGTAAAAAAGTTAATAAATCTCACTTTTTAAGTTAAACCTTACATATAACTTACCATTGTAAGCTGGAGCAGGCAGTACAAATTCTCCATTTCTTACACCTGTAATTGTGTCAAAGCATTTTCTTATTATTCCGGTTATTGTATGTTGATGAGACGGCTATGGTCAGATGTTGCCACTATTTCTTTCACGGGCTGTGTTTTAAATGGGCATTTTTGTAAATATATTGTATCTAAATAAGATTTCCAATCTAAGGCCATGCCTTGTGATACATTTATTAAGATAAAAGGCGATGGTTTGCAGCGGAAATTTTTAATAACTTCCTTAAACTCTTCTGGGGTCTCAAGAGGACTTTACAAATCCCACAATCCTACATTTTTGTCACACTCCAAGTAGAAGTCTCCTCTGCCAAGGAATGCGATTTTTAATTCTTTTAAGCCATGAATTCTGTTATTTACAATAAAATGTATAAAACGAAAAATGGTAAAAAATTTATTTTGTCCTCCGACAGAGTCGCATAAGATTTGCATTTCTTTAATGTCGTCTTCTAAGTGAGTATTGAGAAAATGAAAAAGAAAAGAAGAAACTTCTTTGGATAATTTTTTGGCGATTCCTTGCATGATAGATATAAAATATCGACTAACCAGAAGAGAGGACATGTACGTTATAGGCATACTTAGACAATTGCCGTTTATAGTACACCTCGTTGGTGGCAATTTTTGATATTGAAATATTTTTTGCAAAGTCAATGCAGATGGCTTCCTTTTTGTTACTTTTTTTTGCAATTCTAATAGAACGCTTCAGCCTTTTTCTTATATAAATCATTCTGTTAATTTTCTAATCTCACCCGTATCCTTTTCAGCAGACAAGCTTTTAACCTTAATTTAAAATTCGTCAAACGTTGCACATATGTCAGTCCGGGGGTTTTCAAACAAAATATTAAATTCTTCATTAAAAAATGTTGTGTAAGTGTAAGACCTTAGCATTTGGATTCGTTTCCTTAACGAGGAGCTGCACCAGTTCGTTTAAGGTTTTCCTTTATATAAATTAGTTTATTTTTTGTTGTTTCATGCATAGAACAAAACGCTTTGACACATACCGGGATATCACGATCGAGAACTCGAATTCGATACAAATAACTAACATCATAGAGAGTAGCAGCCCAGCTAAATAAGAATTTTGCTCATCGTGAGCAGATCATTGAAGTTTCTTAATATTTCTTTCGATATCACAATAACACAAACGTTTTACACAATATTGCATCAGATGGTTTGTTTACATGACATCGCTGGTTTTTTTCCTGCATTCTTGGACCAAGCTGGTCTTTATCCTGCACGCAATATTTTTAATAATATGTTACACAAAACTACGCAGGTTTTTTCCAGGTTTGAGTGTTTAAGTGACATATCTGGTTTTTTTCCCTGTACCCTTCAATTATTTTTATCTTTTTCATAAGTTTTTTATATATTGCCACGAATGTATTTTGCTTTTGATGAAAGTTATATTTCATTATCTAATTTCTTATCGCCTTTACAAAATATAAATTATCAAAAATTTTAAAAATGTACTGATTATCTAAATAAAAACCTGTATGTTCCGGAGAGATGTTTAAAATATTTAAGGGTTTAATATTATTAACCAAATCAAACAATCAAAAATATCAACGCGCTACTATGGGGGTTACGATTGTTAACATGTACTATTTTTAACAGATATGTTATTTTAAAACCTTACAGAAATAACAACCTCTTCACAAATAACGCGTCTGTTATAAATCATATTTCGCGTCCATCATAACCCCCTTAGGACTGCTGAACGAATAATAATAACACCAGAGGTAACAGGAGATGTAATTACAAATAATAAGACATATTATAAGGAGAGTATAATATCCGCTGATGTCATGCCGATTTTATTATTCTTATTTCAAATTGTTTACGTATCTTAAAAAGCTAAAATAATTTAACTTATTTTATTGCAACTGAACCCAAAAATTTTAAATCATTAGTCATATCAAATTTAACATTAGATGTTATTTCTCTAAATTAAATGTAATGTCGCTAAATTAGAAGTAATAATTTTCAATAAATTTCAGAACCTAGTTAATGTTAAGTAGGCTATCAAGTATTTTTTACTGGATGTGGCAACAGGGCCTATATTTTGTACGTTGTTTATTATAGGCTTACAAATATATTCATTGATAAAATTGTTTTGTACCGCCGTCAAATTCTTTAGTATATCCCTTTCCATATCGTTGACATGTCTCTTCACTCCTGATCTTCAACTGGACCCCACTGGTTGTGATATCGATGTTGGCATCACAAATTAAGTATCACTCTGTTAGTATGTACGTACTTTGTATAAAAAATATTTTTTTTCCAATGATCTAAATTTTTTTTGCTATATTTATAAATTTAATGAACTACTTGAAATTCTGAATAATAAAATCGACTGAAACAACATGCAGTAATTTAAAAAAAAAAAAAAAGAAAATGTATTCGGGAAATAACAAATTTTATTATAATGGATGATTGGAAGCACTTAAACGTAATGTAGTTAAACCAAATTTATATTTTTTGTTTCCTTGAATATATTTATAAAAATAGACACTTACCTCCAAAATAATAGAAAATATGAATAAAATTAATTTTAACATTGTAACAGATTGTAAAACTAGATACACTGTTAATATTAAATTTTGTCTGTTTTAATTTCTCATTTTATTATCTTGTACAAAATGATAAACAACTACTTATGAATACCAAAGTAGATAGATTGGCGCACTACAGTTTGATAATACTTTAAATGGTTGATTGTATCATAATTCAATGGTAATTAAATGAATAATTGTTAGTTAAATGATACGAATCTTTTTTATATTTTTAATTTAAAAAAACAAAAAATATTTTTTAAAAACTTTGTAGATTACAAACTGAACTTTTATACTATAATAAGAGATTATCTGATTTAAATCTGGAGTTCCACAAGGATAAACTCCAGGGCAGCTCCTATTTAAAACAATACATAATACTTTCTCTTATTGGAAAACTAAGTTAGAATATACTTACTTTCTAAATTTAAACACATATTTTTTTGAATTGTGTTATCAGGAATGACTGTTAAATCTAAAGGAAATTCTTTATTTAAGAAATATTTCGTAAAATTATTTATAACATATATTATTAATGTTAAAAGTCTATCAAAATACTATTTTATATGAAACTAATAATATAAAACTACAATTTCTCAACTATTGTTGATTAACAAACTTAAACAACACTATTTTTACTAAATTTGCTAAAGCCTAAGGAAACCTCTAGCAAAATACCTGTAATTATAATTGGTGTAAAAAATCACAATAATATAAAATTATTGTGGAAAATTAATAAATAATTTATGAAGGAAATTTTGTTTATCGTAAAAGAGACAACCCAGCGAGACGTGTAACTCAATGTATTTTTTTGTTCGGCAACAGTTTTTTGGGCGATTGTTATGGCAACCAGTATATGAAGGCGCCACTAGTCAATTTTCTTCTATTACTGCTGTGCGTATTAAATTTCACGCCACTGCACATCTTCATACAAGGAGAAGCAAGGTCAGCTATTCACAGGCTGATGCAGGACAAAACCCAATAAGCCAACTACATAGCGCCGAACACACAAGGCTATATCAGCAAGTAAAAAGAAATAATATTCTAGCTATGCCTACTGATAGAGCCATAACCACATACAAATTTGAAAAGAAATTTTCAATTTCAAATACCAGCCCAAGAATCCTGGAAACAGGGACCTCCCGTAGAGGCTGAACTCGTCTGGTACACAGACGGTTCAAAAACCAAGGAAGGAGCCGGTGCTGGAGTCTATGGACCCAAGTCAAAAACAACGATTTCGCTGAGTTTAGGAAAATATGCAACAGTGTTCCAGGCTGAGCTAGTAGCCATACAACACTGTACAATAGAAATATTAAATCAGCAAGTATCAGGTAAAACTATTGCCATATACTCAGATAGCCAAGCACCTTTAAAGGCAATTCTCTCACCAGAAATCAAATCACGACTGGTGAAAGACTGTCTAGAAGATCTGGCAGAACTAAGTAGTCAAAATAAGGCGACCCTCGCCTGGGTTCCAGGCCATATGGGATATCAGGGCAACAAAAAGGCTGACGAATTAGCACGAGAAGGCTCAGATAAGGCCATGACATGCCCCGAACCCTTCTGTGGAGTTGCTAAGGCAATGTGCAAGGCATCCATCAGTGGATGCAAAAAGAGTCTCAGGAATGGTGGAATAACTATTCAAGAGACAGGCCTAACAGTTCATCAAGGAACTATCGGCCAAGTTCACGAAAGACCTATTGGATCAAAAGCATCAAACCGTTAGAATAACAGTAGGCCTTCTTACTGGACACTGTCGCCTCAAAAGGCACATGAGTGTCATCAATCCAGCAGAAGAAGCAACTTTGTGCAGGTTCTCTGAAGAAGAAGAGGAAACATCATTCCACGTCCTTTGCTAATGTGAAGGCCTGGCTGGAATGAGGTTTCTAACATTTGGCGAAGAAAAGCCAAATGCATGCAACTACATGCGGGAGACAGTGTCAAATAAAAGTCTAATAAAAAAGACCAGGCTAACGACATGCTCTAAAACAAACGGAGTCCCACAATAGATCTGAAAAGGTCGCGGTGGACAAGGACAAATAACGTCTAACTGCTAATCTAATCTAATCTACTGCTGTGCGTATCCAGTTATGAATAGCGGGAAAAGTTAAAAATGCTGTAGTGCGGGAAATTCTAAAATGTATTCAGAAATAAAAGTTTTTCTATACAAATTTACAGGAGGAGCAAAAACTATTGCTTCACTATATATAAAAAAATGTAAAAGCTTCCAATAACATTAAATTTTTTATCATACAAATAATTAACTTCTATAAAGGAAGTTTTCATCATCGTTTAATATACATAACATAGTTTTTATTACTCCTGTAAATTTCGCTAAAAAAAAACTTAAAAATTATAGTGAATATTAATATTTAAACTTAAAAAATAAACTCTTTTTCTATAAATTATATTTTTCTAAGGTACAGAAAAACAAACTTACAAGTGTTACCTCATGTTGCTCTTTTTATTCGATGCCGTTCATTTAGTACATGTACTTCATCTATAGATAGCGGACCTGTCTGTGGTATTTTAACACAGAGTGTTAAGGTCTGTTTATTCCATATTAAATTCCAGAGCTTTGGGTGTAAATATTCATTTTGTGACAAATTACAAAGAATTGAAGTCACAGTTGTTATTTAATTGAAAAGTATTACAAAACCAAGAAAAATAAAAAAGATGTTATATATTCTTAATATATTTAAAACAAAATGTAACAACTATTTTATAAAGTATAGGGTATAAGTAAAGATTGTTTATTTTAATAGAAACTGGAAACACACTTACACAGATATATAAGGCCAGAGTCGAGTAAGTTCTCATCCTGTAAACTGGATCGAAACCTGCTAGACCCTTTCCGTCCACCTCCCTGCTAACTACTCCTAGGATCATCAAGATCAATAGATTTATATCACATGCCTTCTAAAATGGAATGAAGGATCACATACTATCATCATTTAAACAGGACGTTGCTGAAGGCTTGCTCCCGTTATGTCGTCTGTGTATCCTTTGCGTGTGCATTCTGCTGTGTCCCCACTCTGCACTCATGTGAAAGTTCTCCTAGTCTCCTAATTTGGTGACTAGGTGAACCTTCTTCAATAGTCATCTATTATACGAAACCAATTTAAGATAGCCTTTTTTTTTTCTTCATTAAAGCACTGTTTGCTCTATGGTTATGTGACCAAAAAATCTATTCGATCCGCTCTGCAGCAGGAGGTACTTTTCAGACGCAGCAAATAATAATAATAATAATAATTAATAATAAACACTATATAAAGATAAATACATTTTTGTTATTTTTTTATTTAGTTATTTTTTTGTCCTTGTCCCTTAACTGTCTTTTACACCACCCGGGTATACCTATTTTCCATATCCCCTTAATTATAGATTAGCTTACGATGTTTGAATGAATATAACATTTTACCTATGAAAAATCTAATTTTGAATTTAACTCTTTTTCAATTTCATTCGAAACAATTGGTATATTAAAATTTATTATCAAGGAAGTAAATCTTCTAATACTTGTTGTTCTGCAGGACAAATTAACTTTTCTTGAGATTGATCTCTCTCTAAAATCCAAAACTAACCTGATGTCCCCAAATACATTTTCCAAAGTATCCTGGGCTTTAGTGTTTCAATTTTTTTCTTAACTAAAGTGGCTATTAGAGGTGAGTATATGTAAGAAATTGCCAATCTTAAATCATCTCAAAAGTCCTTTGTCAATACTACATGTACAGATATTTTTTAATCAGCATACAATTTACTTCTTTTCTAGTAGGTGGGAACTTTGTGTTGCCACTAAAGCTGTCGAGACATTCATTTACCTACTTCATTAATAAAATTAGCTATAACAATGGATCTCTGTTCCAATTCACATAAAATAGTTATAGTCATTTTTTAATATTAAACACACACATTATGCAGTCGTTGTTGATTTTCTTAATAAATTGGAAATTACTTACCTCTAGAAAGTAATGTGTACAAAAACCAAAGACATTACAACATATAGACAAAATGTTTCATTCATAAATCCCATACAATTGCGGACTGTTATTGTTTTAAAATTGTTAGTGATTGTAAGAGAGAAAGACAGATCTCTTAGGACCGGCTGGCAACGTTGTAAACAGTGTTCATAATATGCTCGCCAATGACGTAGAGTTTTAAACTTACCAGTATTGTCAGAGTAGTATGTAAAAAAAATACGTAAATATGTAGGTGTATTTTTTTAGTAATATAATTATAATGATTTTTTCATGTAGGTAGAGTTGGAGGTTATTTGTCCTTGTCCACCGCGAACTTTTCAGATCTTTTGTGGGACTCTTGTTTGTTTTGGAGTATGTCATCTAGCCTGGTCTTTTTTATTAGTCTTAGTAGCTTTGACAGTGGCTCCCGCATGTAGTTACATGCAATTGGCTTTTCTTCGCCCAATGTTAGAAACCTCGTTCCAGCCAGGCATTCATATTGGCACAGGACATGGAATATTGTTTCCCCTTCTTCTTCTTCACAGAACCTGCTCAAAGTTGCTTCTTCTGCTCGATTTATGACACTCATGTGCCTTTTGAGGCAACAGTGTTCAGTAAGAAGGCCTACTGTTATCCTAACGATTTGAGGCTTTTGATCCACTAGGTCTTTCGTGAACTTGGCCGATGGTTCCTTGATGAACTGTTTGGCCTGTCTCAGTCTTGGATAGTTGTTCCACCATTCCTGAGACTCTTTTTGCATCCATTGTTTAATGGATGCCTTGCACAATGCCTTAGCAACTCCACAGAAGGGTTCGGGCCTGTCATGGCCTTATCTGAACCTCCTCGGGCTAATTCGTCGGCCTTTTCGTTGCCCTGATATCCCTCATGGCCTGGAACCCAGGCTAAGGTCACCTTATTTTAACTACTTAGCTCTGTCAGGCCTTCTAAACAGTCTTTCACCAGTCGTGATTTGATTTCTGGTGAGAGAATTGCCTTTAGAGCTGCTTGGCTATCAGAGTATATGGCAATAGTTTTGCATAATACTTGCTGATTTTTCATGTAGGTAAATTCGAGTAAAAGTAAATTCAAATACAAGCGAATTCGAGTTACCTTTCGATTTTTAATATTTATTGGTTTATATTTTATTGGCATTTACTATATATTTGCCTGGTATGATGTTAACCAAAATTATTTAAAATTTTAAATTAATAATTA